AGAGATCGCTAAATTACTCAAACATGCATGGATGACACCTAAAACTTCTTCAAGCATGTTTTGATCAGGGAACAACATTATAACATGGTAGAAAGCTCAGAAAAGTCGATTTTAATAAAGAAAATCAGACTTGTTGCACATTACAAAATGGTAAAAACTGGTGTGGGTGAATGGACATGTCTCACTGAGCGTGCCCAGTGCAAAGGGGGGGGGGGGGTGCGGAGCGCGCTCAGTCAGTCTCTCTCTGAACAGGTGCAGAGGTCTCCTGGGTTAAATTAAGACCAGTGACTCTGCTCTCAACCTGGACCACACACAATGTAAATAATACACAGAGAAAGACCTGGTTAAGTTCTGGTTTAGTTTTATTCAGTCCTTCTGGTTTGGTTTGGTTTTGTTCAGCCTGGGACTAGTTCTGATCCAGTCCTGGTTTATTCCCGATTCAGTCCTGGGTTCGTCTTGGTTTAGTTCTTGTTCAGTCCTGGGTTAGTCCTGTTTCATTCCTGTTGTAGTTAGGGTTGGGTATCATTAAGAAGTTGCCAATATGATACATATCTCGATACATAGGCCATGATACGATACATATCTCGATACAGTGCACTTTCCATCCGATACAATATATTTCAAATCAATTCAATACACTTCAATAAAAAATAAAGTCTAAATCATGGCTGTGATACTAAAAGTCTTTGTTAAATCACTTCTTGTGCAAAGTTCATATTAAACACAAACATTTTAATCATCAAAACAGTGAAAATGTCAAATGTGTTGGATAAACAAGTGATCTCTGAACAAGCAACAAAACTGTAGCACTGTAACAAAATAATTTAGTAAAATATGCCAAAAAATACTCAGCACTCAGTACTTAGCAGTCCCCAATATCACTACTGTACATATTAAACAATACGATATATTGATATTTCGATATTTTTGCACAGCCCTAGTTGTAGTGCTTATATAGCCCTGGTTTAGTCTTTGGTCAGCCCTATAGGCCTGGTTCAGTCCTGGTTTTGTCCTTGTTTTGTCCTGGTTCAGTCCTGGTGTATACTTTGTTTAGTCCTGCTATATTCCTCGTTTAGTCCTGGTTTAGTCCTTGTTTAGTCCTGGTTTAGTTCTGGTTTAGTCCTTGTTTAGTCCTTGTTTAATCCTGCTAATTCCCTAATTGATTCCACTCATTGCTCGGACACTCTTTAAATAAATGAACTGTGTGTCACACCTGTCGTTTATGCATCTTTTATAAAGGCTCACATTAATAATGGATTGACCTGTATTCTTTACTATTTATATTTTAAGCACAGAGCCATAAAGATTCTCTTTTGATCCTGGTTTAGTTCTGGTTTAGTCCTTTTGTGTTATTTTATAACATTAAACGTTTTCTATAAGTATCATTAGACCTGATTTATTTCTGTGGCATTCTTTTAATCCTTGTTTGGTCCAACTGTAGCCCTGGTTTAATCCTGGTTTAGTTCTGGTTTAGTCCTGGTTTTGTCCTGTTTTATAACGTTAAATATTTTTTCCAAGTGTCATTAGATCTGGTTTAGTTCTATAGCCTTCTCCTTTTTTAGTCCTGATTTTTAGTCCAGGGTAGTCGTCCTGGTTTAGTTTTGGTCCAGTCCTGGTTTAGTCCTGGTTTTGCTCTTGTTTTATAACATTAAAAAGTTTCTCCAAGTCTCAGTGGACCTAATTTTGTTCTGTGGCATTCTTAGTTTAATCCTTTTTTGGTCCAGCTATAGCCCATTTAGTTCTGGTCCAGTCCTGGTTTGGTCCTGATTTAGTCCTGGTTTAGTTCTGGTTTAGTCCTACTTTGGTTCTGCTTTACTCCTGGATTTGCCCTCACTGTTTTTGAGACTTCTTCCATGAAAACAGGCATTGAAAACAGACTTGACCAGAAACTATAAACGTCGACCTCCTCTTCATATTAGATTTTTGAAGTGAAAGAAGCAGAGGCCTAAAGTTCTAGTTAAGTTTCTAATAGATTGTGAAGTGTGTCCGTTTGTTAGTGATCTCACGAGGTTGCTCTGGCACGTGTCCTTTGGCTGCTCTAAACTGACACATTGATTTTGAATGGATTTTCTGCTCGTTTTTCTGGTGTAAAATGGACTCAGTGCTTCATTTTTGCAGCGCCAGTGTCGGCTCAGCTGCAGTCACGGCTCAGGTCTGAAGGATCCAGTATACTCTCTCCTGGCTAGGGTTGTCAAAAGTATCGAAAATCAGATACTAATTGAAAGTATATACTCATTTGAGCAGGTATCGATACTAAAAACGTCACATTCACAGGACAGAAATGAACCCTTCCTGAATGTCTTTAGAAGGATTTTGAGCTGCATCAGAACAAGAATTAAAGCACATAGAATAATATACACCCACGGACCACTATGGAACCATTGAGGGATTACACAGATATAAGGCTTTATGGTAATATAAAACAAAGTACTATTGTTTAATGTTGAGAATAACATTCTGTTGCCGAAGAGAATAGTTTATTTTATTTTTTTATTATTATCATTGTGGTATCGGAATCAGTTCTGTTTTGCTTTCTCGCTTGGCTCACAGTGTTGTGATTGACCCAGCCCACCAGTAGTTCAGACCAATCACAGAGCAGCATTGTAGTTTGGGTGGAACTAAAGGTGAAGCACCCAAATGAACCAAAATAAAACATGGCGACGCAGATGTAATTCACTCTATCTGATCAGAAAAACAGGCTAAATTATAGGGCCTGTTCACACGAGAACGCTTGCGGGTAAAAACGACTAAATATTTTATTGGAAGTGTCTTTTGTTTAGATGGTGACAGTGTTTTTGGGGCTGAAAAATGCAAAAATGCAAAAACCACCCTCCAGAGTGGAAAAGTTGAATATGCTCTGCTGTAGTTTCTGTCTACACTGTCCAAGACACAAAACTGTGTTCAGATCTGCTCATGTCGCGTACGTGTTTACTTCACATACATACAGTATGCAGAATAAAAAGTGAAGATGCAACACCACTTTTTCGTCTTCTGTTCAGACCATCATCATATAAACATAGCCTTAGTTTCTGAAAATCGTTTTTGTGCATTTGTGGAGGAAAAAAGTCTGTGCTTTTCTCTCAACAGGATATAACTAAAGTTAGATTTTTTGAATTCCGCTCTTGTGAGGCTTTGACCAATCAGATTTAAATATTCATGTCACGAGGTTCTGACGTTCCACCTTATCTCAACTGCTTTCAGTTTGGGATGTAACTACAGTATTTCCCTCAGAAAACTAGTTAGTCAAGGTGGTCACCGGGAGGGAGGGGTGGCAGAGATACCGGCAAACGGCGAGTGAGGACCGGGCCGTGATAGTTTTGCGATGATTCAGGAGATTCAAAGGGACATAGTCAAGACGGGGGGCAATTGTTTTCAAGGCGGCAGCTCTAACTATAAAGTGCAGCGGGAAACACTGAACTATGTCCAGCTCTTATGGTATGTGAAAAATCCCTCCCTCCAGAATCCATGGGAAGGAGAAATTCAATTTTTCAACTGGACAAAGTTTATTTGGTCGAATATGTTTCGAACTGAAGAAGCAGCTTGGATGAGCTGCAAAACATATTAGACCACATAAACTTTGTCCAGTTGACAAATTGAATTTCTCCTTTGCCACAGCTCTTATGGTACAGTATTATCACAATATTCATCTCACTGTAATTATTGCAATATTTTGGAGAAATTAATATAATTGTAATAGTACACGTTTTGTTTTTAAAATACCTTGACAAGACTTTGCTGCGATTCATTACTATGAATTGCACCAATCGATAATCATTTCTGATTATATAATTCAAGTAAAAATTGATTGATTATATAATTCAAGTAAAAAATATATCTTCATGTTGTCTGCACTGAAATGAATCATGGAATATATTATACCACATTACCATTAGTATTAAAACTGACTTTGGCAGTTTAGAATTTCATCGTTTCATCGTTAATGATGACTTTTATTTGTATTTCTTTACTAATGATAAATTGTATACTGTGAACTGAGTTTTAAACCTGATGCCCTCCCCACCTCAGTTTGGTAGATTGAGTTCTCTGCAGTCTCCAGTCCAGTGCATAGACCCAGTGTTTGGTCTGAGAGTTTAATCTGATTCAAAACCAGACGCATTAGGAAGACTTCCCGGCACTGACCCTTAAACTACTGCATCTAATAAAGCAGGACTGAACCAGGACTGAACCAGGACTGAACCAGAACTGAACCAGGTCTGAAACAGGACTGAAACAGGACTGAACCAGGACTAAATAAGGACTAAAACAGGACTGAATGAAGACTCTCCTCTATTTTCTTGTCAGTTGAGTCGGTCCAGATTCTTGTGTACATTTTTGTCTTGAGTGTTTGTCTTCGCTCGGGTGTGAAGTGTCTGCTGAAGAATGTAAACTTAAAGTGCATCCCCTGCTCCATCAGACACTCTCCTCTTCTCCTCTGCACGTCCAGAAAAAAAACTGAAAAATGAATATGTCACGGTAATATAAGAATCACATTTCAGAGCTTGTTGGCTGTTGGCACAGATCTAAATTACAGGATTATTTTTTATGCATAATAAGGCAGGATATTTTCTTGTTTATGGAGGAAATTGTGGTACATCAACATTTGCAACCTTTGTGATTTGCTGATTGTGTCCATTCAAATTACAATTTTGTTTTGATTGTGATTCATCTTGCAGCCTTTATTTACAGCCATGGTTTTGAACACTGCTGATGGATTACCAAATAGGGGTGCTCCGGAATGATACCGTATCGAATATCGGCACTGATCCAGGACAATTTGGTGGATCGAGTATCGGTTGCATGAGATTGGGTCCGCTGATATCCTGGTTGGAGCTTTAATTGGGTGTAATGAGACTGATGACTGATGTAGGCCCAGAACGTCTCAAGATGTTTGAACTTCTATTCGTGCAAAGCTGTTCAACAGTTACCTGCATCTTGCTATGTATGTATTTACCTTTCCGTGACATGCATATTAAATAGTCTTATGTTTATGTTTGTTTCAGAAATGTGGTCTGAACATGGATAACCTGAGTAAGCCTGAGCTGCTGACTCTCCTCAGTATCATGGAGGGAGAGCTGGAGGCACGAGACCTGGTCATCGAGGCACTAAGGGTGAGTCTATGTCAAGTACCGGACTATCTGTTGATACTTTGCAGTGACATGACGTTAGGGGTGTTGTACCTCTTGTCTCTAATGGTGGAATGTTTAGGAGTTACCGTGGTGACTCAATGCACACAGTAGCAAAAGCAGACAAAAAAGCTTCTGTCTAAGAAGCCAAGAGAAACACAGAATGGATTTTAAAACACATTTTCAGGAGCCTCTGATCAATACGAGCGTTCATGGTCCTGTTTAGGGGTTTGATTTTCAACAGAGATATTTGTTTAAAGGAATACCGGTTTGAACGTCCCCCCCGGCTTGAAAGTCCCAGCTCGAACATCCCATTCTCTCGACTTGAATGTCCGGGCGCCCTCTTCTCTTGGGCGGCATACAGTTAACTGCTGTGGCCAGGACAAGGGGGATGTTCTCGCCGGACTTTAGTCGACTGCGTCACACACTGTGATGTATTGAGTTAGAAGATCAGCATTCTATATCATAATAAAATTAAATGTGAATGTAGCGAGAGCAAATGTCATTCCTTGTTTATGTCATGTTATGTGTATGTATTATCAATATAATCCTCATTTTCTCACAGAAGTTTACTATGAAATCGTATTTTAAATTTTAAATTTTTTTCTTGTTCCCCGTGTCCTTTCACATTTGTAACTGTTGATTTGGGAAGAAATATAAATAATGTCCTTACCTGCTGCCATGAACATAATTTGTAAGCAGCGCAACACAAGAAACTTAAAAAGCTATAGGATTTGTTCAAAAATCATTCAGAATCACTTTTAGGAAGGTCTTAACTATGTATTTCATTGAAATATGTACAATAAAATCCTGAAATAGTTGCGGCACAGTTGAGACCACATAGATTTTGCATTGTTTTTTTTGTATGTATGAAGAAATGTGTTGAGATTTATTGTAACGTGTATGTGTACATTGTATATTGTGACTTTTTTTTTTTATATATGTATATACTGTAGATTAACTAACTTAGTTTCATAAAGAGTACAATTCAGGTGGACTTTCCAGCTGGTTCCCTTTAAAAGCACAAATCATCTCACCTGTTGTAGTTCTAGCTACAACATCACACCTCCAGGGAATGTAGATGACATCAGCTGCCAAAATATCAGTGAGTTAGAAACGTTGAATGTCACTACTGGCATTATGCAAAACTTCACTTTTTATGAGCTTTCTACCGTGTTATAACATTGTTTCTTCATCAGAAACATGTCTGAAGTGGTTTTATATGTCATCCATGCATATGTCAGTAATCAAGTGATCTGGGCTGTAACAAGCACTCTTTACAGTTAGGGTTCGACTGCTCAGCGTACAAGCCTACGTCACGCTCTCACACGATATCTCCATAAATATATAAAAGCACAATACATTGGGCTGGGTATGATTCAGAAGTTTCCAATACGATACATACCTTAATACATAAGCCTCAATTCAATACATATCTTGATACAGTGAGCTTAAGATTTGATACGATTCAATACAATACATTTCAAATGCGTCAAAATGGCTGTGATACTAAAAGTCTTTGTTAAACCACTTCTTGTGAAAGTTCATATGAAACACAAGTATTTTAATCATCAAATCAGTGAAAATGTCAAATGTGTTGCATGAACAAGTTTCCTTCATCTAAATAAGCAACAAAACTGTAGCACTGTAACAAAATAATAAAATATACCAAAAACTACTCTTGGCGATATATCGATACAGCCGCCCACAATATTGATACTGTATCATCACATTGAATGATATGATATATCGATATTTCAATATTTTTGGACACCCCTAATGATACAACACAATACACTACAACTCGACAAACCTCAGACGATGTGTAATCATTTCATTAGCGGAATGCATGCTGATTGTGTTGTGATTGTACTCTGAAGGGGGAGTGACGCGGGGAGGAAAGAGAGCGTTAAAGTAAAATTGATAAAACATGATAATATGTATGTAGCATTTTCAAATGAATAAAAGATAACATGGTGTTCTAAATATGTTGTGCTAGCTGTTAAAGGGACAATGTCCAATTTTGGGCAAAGGACCTCATTTCCTAGTGAGTCAGAGTGTTGAAGACACTTTTTAAAATATTCAATCCAGTCCTTATATTTGCAGAGGTCGCTGGTGCTAGGCTAGTGCATGTCAATGGACATAGATTTCCTGCCACTAAAAACAGTCTTACCCACTCCACAAAACACCCGAAGTAAATCTATTATTACACCAGACTGTCCATGTGAATGGCTGTGTTGACAGAATAATGTTTGAAATAGAACGAACCTTGCATCGCATGAATCGTCGCATGTTGAGGGACTATTTTCTCATATATCAGTCCGCCGCTGCCAAGCTTTCATCAGGAAGTGCAACTCACTGCTGTTGCTCAGACATAAATTCTTCAAATGTAACGTTGGTTTTACTTCTGAAATTATTCTATCAACACAGACATTCACATCGACAGTCTGGTGTAATAATAGATTTGCTTCGGGTGTTTTGTGGAGTGGGTAAGACAGGCTAACTAAGGGCAGGCTAACTATGGCCATTGACATGCACTAGCCTAGCACCAGTGACCTCTGCAAATACAAGGACTGGATGGAATATTTTAAAAAAGTGTCTCCACACGTCTCCAACACTCTGGCTCACTAGGAAATGAGGTCCTATGTCCAAAATTCCAGACTGCCCCTTTAATACCCCGCAGATTGCGTTATGATTTGTATTGTATCATTATACCAGCTCCAATGTTTTGCATGGGAATCTCTAGGTTTATACTGATACTGATATAGGTAGGGTAGCAGAATTTCAAAATAAAAAAACTGAGACATCCCCGCTTTTTTGGTGGTTGTTAATAATAACATTGTGAAACAAGTGCGAATAAAGGAAAATTGTTATGTAAAGACCATTCAGTATAGTCAAATTTTTTGTGTTTTGGTCAATTTAAAGCAGCTTTTAGGTATTTTACCTCAACAAATGACAATGTATGGCTGTTTTTACTGTTGGCAGGGTATCAAATTGGTCTAAAATAGGGACACCTGGAATATTTCTTGTATAAAACTGGGACAAATCACTGGTTTTGGATAAGCCTGCTGGGACAGAGGACACAGGGCTCAAAACTGGGACTGTCCCGGGTAAATAGGGACATCTGGTCACCCTAGATATAGGTCACATACTCTGCTCTATTCATTTAACAGGACTAAAATACCAGCAACCATTCAACCAATCAGAGGCCTTCATTTTGTGACTAAATAATTGATTAGTAACTGCAACTGAAGACTGTTTTAATTATGACTGTGGCAGAGTGGTTAGCCTGTCTCTTTCTCTTAGTAAGGAGGTTGTGTTAGACTCCTGATCTCTCTGGACCAGGACTAAACCAAGACTAGACCAGGAGTAAACTGGACTATGGCTAGATTTGGATTAGACCGGACCAGGGACCAGAGACCAGAGACCAGGCCAGAGACTAGACACCAGACACCAGACCAGAAACCAGACCCAAGAACAAATCTAAGACTAGTTCCAAGACCAGACCCAAGACCATACCCAAGACCAAACCCAAGACCAGATCCGAGACCAGACCAGAGACAAGAGACCAGGCCAGAGACCAGACACCAGATACCAGACCAGAAAACAGATCCAAGACCAGATCCAAGACTAGACCCAAGACCAGACCCAAGACCAGATTAGAGACTAGAGACCAGAGACCAGAATCCAGACTAGAGGCCAGACAAAAGACCAGAGCAGAGACCAGACCAGAGACCAGATCTAAAACCAGACACAAGACCAGACTAGAGACTAGAGACCAGAGACCAGACCAGAGACCAGAGACCAGACCCAAGACCAGATCCAAGATCAGACCCAAGACGAGACTAGAGACCAGAGACCAGACCCAAGACCAGATCCAAGAATAGAAACCAGATCCAAGACCAGATCCGAGACCAGATCCAAGACCAGATCCAAGACCAGACCCAAGACCAGACCCCAGACCAGATCAGAGACCAGACTAAAGACCAGAGACCAGATCAGAGACCAGACTAAAGACCAGAGACCAGACCAGAGACCAGAGACCAGGAATGTGGCCAGTGAATACTCCTAGACTTTCAAAATGTGCTCCGTGATCTGAATTTTGGCCTTAAAACACAAATCGTGAATCATTAAAAGACAAATCGTGAATCAAATTGAAATATCAAATTGAAATATCCCCCCCCCCCAATAGTTTAACTGCACTTCTCTTTGTGTCTGGTTCACCTCAGGTCTCCTCTGAGTTCTGTAACACAATCTGCCCCTGTGTCTGTGCTGCTGTAATCTCATCACACACACTCACATAATATATCTGTACTACAATATAACACTGAGCCTGACAGACAAAACAGTGGGAAAACGTTTGTACAGACGTGGTTTAGTACTGTTTTTGGTCTGTTTTTTTTTTTTGTATAGTCCTAATTTGTCTGTCTAGTTACTGTTAACCACTTGTTTAGTCCTGATTCAGACCTGGTTTAGTTATGGTTTGGTCATGGTTTAGTCCTGGTTTAGTCTGTGTTTGATCATGGTTTAGTCCTGGTTTGGTCCTGGTTTAGTCTGTGTTTGATCATGGTTTAGTCTGGGTTTGGTCCTATTTTAGTACTGGTTTAGCCCTGATTCTGACCTCTTTTGGTCCTGGTTTAGTCTGTGTTTGGTCCTGGTCTGGTCCTAGTTTAGTCCTGGTTTGGTCCTGGTTTAGTCTGTGTTTGGTCATGGTTTAGTCCGGGTTTAGTCCGGGTTTAGTCCTGGTTTGGTCATGGTTTAGTTCTGGTTTGGTCATCTTTTTTTTATCCTCGTTAGTCCTGGTTTAGTCCTGGTTTAGTCCTGACTTGGTCATGGTTTGGTCCTGGTTTAGTCCTGGTTTGGTCCTGGTTTAGTCTGTGTTTGGTCATGGTTTAGTCTGGGTTCAGTCCTGGTTTGGTCATGGTTTAGTTCTGGTTTGGTCATGGTTTAATCATGGTTTAGTCCTGGTTTATTCCTGGCTTGGT